GCTGATATGTTCGACATCACATTCTGAAATGAGATCGAGAGAACAAGGCCAAGAGCATGCAAGTCGCCGATCTCTCATACTCTGCTGCATTCCTTTAACCCTTTGTGACCCCATCGATCGATATCGATCAATTGATATACAGTGGCATTAAAAATATGATATCTCTGGTGCTTCTTCACCGATTTTCATAAACGAAGCATCTACGTTTCGAGAAGAACCTTGGCTATCACGTCAAAGTTATCCGAAGTCTTCACGAGGTACGATACCGCTGTGGTGAGACCGCTGCCAACCAAGTACATGTACTTTTTCTTTGGCCCCTGCAATTATGGAATGCCTCAGACCACGCACGCGCGCGCGCACAAACAAAGCACCAAAATTAATGTTTGTTGTGGTCCTCCGAGGCAGGTTATCGCTTTATCAGAGTGGTTGCCTTTACGAGTTTTACTGCACTTTAGCCGTTTGAAAGTGCTGAAATTGATGGTGCTAAACGCATTCCAACCTTTTCAGCCGATTACAAAGGCTGCAATTACTTCACTCTTTCATGCCCTTTCATTCATGATCTGTCTTGTACAGGGCCGCTCGTAGAGTTTGTGTTAAAATTCATCTTTATAGCAAATCTCATGATACGTTTCCTTTTGGCGTGACCACTTACTGTTTCCAGGACAAGCCGTTTGCAGCACGGGCCAAACACAGGTCGCTGGGTGTGACCGCGCTTTTCTGCCATACGTTAGCCATCGCCAGGCGAACTGATTTAGTAAGTCTCATCCTAACTACTCATTGAGATACGAGAGGTACCTGGTTCAAGTCCTGCCTGGGAGCGGGTTTTCCAGCCGTGCTGCTACCCGCAGTTAACTGGAAACTTGTTGCCAGGCACAAGTGGTACATGGCTGCGGGTAATGGGGTCTTTCTCGGCACTTGTGCCAGTGGTTGTGACACTTATCCAGTCACCCCTACCATTAGGCGCTGCATCTGCCGCTAGGGTTTACCAGGTTTTAGCGGCCGTCGTGAGTTCCCTTCGGGAACGGACACGATAATTTACTTTTTATTTTATTTTATATCCTAATTACCATGCAGCTCAATGATATCCGATCGCGTGAGTCAAGACCGTGTCGGGCGCTGTTCAGCCCTGCAACAAGACATCCAAACACTGGTATTCTCAGTGGTACCGGGTGCAGAGCTGACTCACTTGACTTCGGTGTCCATTGAGCACCACTGCATTATGATATGCTGCCTGCTACAGTCCGGTGTACAATTCAGCACACAAAACTAAGTACCGTATTCTCCGGAGTATGCGCCACACTGGAGTTCAAGCCGCGCCCAGACCTTTTGGCACGAAATACGGACATTTACAAGCTTCGAATCCCACCGCTGCCAACCAAGTACTTTTTTCCATTTTTTTGCCAGAATCATATTGCTGGTACTGTATGCATGTTCGGTCCATCAGTACTCCAAGCATGTTTCCATAGTGTAGCGGTTATCACGTTCGCCTAACACGCGAAAGGTCCCCGGTTCGATCCCGGGTAGAAACAAATCTTCTTTTTTGTTTTCTTTTGCACCTACAATTACGGAATGCCTTACTCAGACCACGCATTTGCATGCGCACAAAGTAAAGCACCAAAATTGATTTCGAACACGTAAAATCAAGAGTACATAACCCCCCAGAGTGTGCAACTCCCACATACCCTGCTGTCCCGACAGAATTTCAAGTTGACGTCATTATTTATGTCGCAATGCTCCTCGCACCAGTGATTTACAACATGTGTACGGGTGTCAACGCATCACACGTTTTTCGTTGCAATAATTTGTACAGAATCGATCGGCTTCGGTCAACCACAGGTTCCGGATTCGTCTGATAATCCGTGTGCAGTGCGCATTGCATCATCAAAATGACGTCAACTTGAAATTCTGTCGGGACAGCACCCATAGTGGAGTTGCACACTCTGGGGGGTTATGTACTCTTGGTAAATTCCCTGCCACGTTCAAAACGCAACTTTTTGCGACGCGACTTGCGACACCTGCGGCGAGCTGCAGCAGCGACACGCGGTTCACAATATTTTTGGTGTTTGCCGCATCCCTATGCACTTATAGTACTATCCACGTGCACTGCACGTGCACCCAGAGCAGAAACTGTACTCTGTTTCTGTATGTTGCGCGTCACATGTCGCGAAAGTTTAACTTTCTTCAACTTCTGCGGCAGGTGCCTTGCGACTGTACGCGACAACTCGCGACAGGCATTTTCTTGTCGCATCTGCCGCAAATCACGTATCGCGCCGCAAAAAGTTGTACTGTGGATCGGCCTTGAGGGCAAACACATGCTGATATGTTCGACATCACATTCTAAATTACAATCGAGAGAACAAGGCCAAGAGCATGCAAGTCGCCGATCTCTCATACTCTGCTGCATTCCTTTAACCCTTTGTGACCCCATCGATCGATATCGATCGATTGATATACAAGTTTTACTGCACTCTTAGCCGTTTGAAAGTGCTGAAATTGATTGTGCTAAACGCATTCCAACCTTTTCAGCCGATTACAAAGGCTGCAATTACTACACTCTTTCATACCCTTTCATTCATGATCTGTTTTGTACAGGGCCGCTCGTAGAGTTTGTGTTAAAATTCATCTTTATAGCAAATCTCATGATACTTTTCCTTTTGGCGTGACCACTTACTGTTTTCAGGACAAGGCGTTTGCAGCACGGGCCAAACACAGGTCGCTGGGTGTGACCGCGCTTTTCTGCCATATGTTAGCCATCGCCAGGCGAACTGATTTAGTAAGTCTCATCCTAACTACTGATTGAGATACGAGAGGTACCTGGTTCAAGTTCTGCCTGGGAGCAGTTTTTCCAGCCGTGCTGCTACCCACAGTCAACTGGAAACTTGTGGCCAGGCACAAGGGGTACATGGATGCGGCTAATGGGTCTTTCTCGGCACTTGTGCCAGTGATTGTGAGACTTACCCACTCATCCCTACCATTAGACGCTGCATTTGCCACTGGGTTTACCGGGTGTTAGCGGCCGTCTTGAGTTTCCTTCGGGAACGGACACGATAATTTACTTTTTAATTTTTTTATTCTGGTTACCATGCAGCTCAATGATATCTGATTGTGTGAGTCAAGACCGTGCCGGGCGGTGTTCAGCCCTACAACAAGACATGCGAACACCGGTTGGTATTCTCACTTGTACCGGGTGCAGAGCTGACTCACTTGACTTCGGTGTCCATTGAGAACCACTGTATTATAATAATTATACTGGGTGGTACAGTCCGGTGTACAATTCCGCACAGAACACCAAGTTTTAACTTAGCTACAAGGACGAATAGTTGCATTCCCCATACGTCGACATGTGAACTAAATACTGTGTTCTCCGGAGTATAAGCCACACTGGAGTTTTTAAGCCGCACCCTGTCCTTTTTTTCCTCACGAAAAACAGACATCTATCCTGTTTATCACCATTCATTTGACTGTCGCGGTACGAGCTGCACCAACGTTTCTGGGTGAATTACGAATATTCAAGGTTTGGCTTATACCCCGGAAAACATGGTATTGTCGTCTCACTATCCATACACTTACCGTCCCACCGCTGCCATTGTTAATTTTTTCCCCGTCATGTTAGATTTTGCTTATAGAATTCAATTCAGCTTGGAATATGCAGAATTGATATATGAGGTAGCGTGACCGAGTGGTCTAAGGCGCTGGATTAAGGCTCCAGTCTCTCCGGAGGCGTGGGTTTGAATCCCACCGCTGCCAACCAAGTACTTTTTTTCCATTTTTTGCCAGAATCATATTGCTGGTAATGTATGCATGCTCGGTCCATCAGTATCTCAAGCATGTTTCCATAGTGTAGCGGTTATCACGTTCGCCTAACACGCGAAAGGTCCCCGGTTCGATCCCGGGTGGAAACAAATCTTCCGTTTTTTGTTTTCTTTTGCCCCTACAGTTATGGAATGGGACCATGCAGTTGCATGCGAACAAAGTAGAGCACAAAAATTGATGATGTAAAACACGTAAAATCCCTGCCACGTTTCAAAATACAACTTTTAAGCTGCGGCAGTGACACACGGTTCACAATCTTCAAGTTTGGTGTTTGCGACATCCCTATGCACTTGTGGTGCTATCCACGTGCACTGCGCGTGCACACAGAGTAGAAACTGTCCTCTGTTTGTGTATGTCGCGCTTCGCATGTCGCGAAAGTTGAACTCTCTTCAACTTCTGCGGCAGGTGCCTTGCGACTGTACGCGACAGCTCGCGACAGGCGTTTTCTTGTCGCATCTGCCGCAAATCACGTATCGCGTCGCAAAAAGTTGTATTGTGGATCGGCCTTGAGGGCAAAAACATGCTGATATGTTCAACATCACATTCTGAAATACAATCGAGAGAACAAGGCCAAGAGCATGCAATTCACCAATCTCTCATACTCTGCTGCATTCCTTTAACCCTTTGTGACCCCATCGATCGATATCAATCGATTGATATACAGTGGCATTAAACATATTATATCTCTGGTGTTCAAAGGAGTTCCTTCACCAATTTTCATAAACGAAGCATCTACGTTTCGAGAGGAACCTTGGCTATGACGTCAAAGTTATCCGAAGTCTTCACGAGGTACAATGCCGCCGTGGTGAGACCGCTGCCAACCAAGTACTTTTTCTTTTGCCCCTGCAATTATGGAATGCCTCAGACCACGCACGCGGGCGCGCACAAACAAAGCACCAAAATTAATGTTTGTTGTGGTCCTCCGAGGCAGGTTATCGCTTTATCAGATGGTTGCCTTTACGAGTTTTACTGCACTCTTAGCCGTTTGAAAGTGCTGAAATTGATGGTGCTAAACGCATTCCACCCTTTTCAGCCGATTACAAAGGCTGCAATTACTACACTCTTTCATGCCATTTCATTCATGATCTGTCTTGTACAGGGCCGCTCGTAGAGTTTGTGTTAAAATTCATCTTTATAGCAAATCTCATGATACGTTTCCTTTTGGCGTGACCACTTACTGTTTTCAGGACAAGCCGTTTGCAGCACGGGCCAAACACAGTTCGCTGGGTGTGACCGCGCTTTGCTGCCATACGTTAGCCATCGCCAGGCGAACTGATTTAGTAAGTCTCATCCTAACTACTGATTGAGATACGAGAGGTACCTGGTTCAAGTTCTGCCTGGGAGCAGTTTTTCCAGCCGTGCTGCTACCCACAGTCAACTGGAAACTTGTGGCCAGGAAAAAGGGGTACATGGATGCGGCTAATGGGTCTTTCTCGGCACTTGTACCAGTGGTTGTGAGACTTATCCACTCACCCCCACCATTAGACGCTGCATCTGCCGCTAGGGTTTACCAGGTGTTAGCGGCCGTCTTGAGTTCCCTTCGGGAACGGACACGATAATTTTTTTATAATTTTTTTTATTCTGGTTACCATGCAGCTCAATGATATCTGATTGTGTGAGTCAAGACCGTGCCGGGCGCTGTGCAGCCCTACAACAAGACATGCGAACACTGGTTGGTATTCTCACTTGTACCGGGTGCAGAGCTGACTCGCTTGACTTCGGTGTCCATTGAGCACCACTGCATTATGATATGCTGCCTGCTACAGTCCGGTGTACAATTCCGCACAGAAAACCAAGTTTTAACTTAGCTACAAGGACGACTAGTTGCATTCCCCATACGTCGACATTATAAACTAAGTACTGTATTCTCTGAAGTATAAGCCACCCTGGAGTTTAAGCCGCACACAGTCTTTTTTTGTCATGAAAAACAGACATCTATCGTGTTTACCAACATTCATTTGGCTATCGCGGTACGAGCTGCACAAACGTTTCTGAGTGAATTGTGAGCGTGTAAAGTTTGGCTTATACAGTGGAGATCGGATATAACGACAGATTGAGGTTAGCGACACAATTCTGTTGCCCAAGTCGTTTAGTAAGTCCTTTGTGAAGATCGCGTTTAGTGACTGATTGAATATAGGGACATTTTGTTCTCTCTCGAAGGAATGTCGTTATAACCAATCTCCACTGTACTCCGGAAACCACGGTTTTGTCGTCACACTATCCATACACTTACCGTTACCTGAAAACAGAATCTCTCTGTTGCTCGCCAGTTCTGCGCTGCCGAAATTGACTTTTTCTCCACGTTAGCTCTTGGATGGAAGATTTTAGCTTGGAGTATGTGAGCTTGGTGTGTGAGGTAGCGTGGCCGAGTGGTCTAAGGCGCTGGATTAAGGCTCCAGTCTCTCTGGAGGCGTGGGTTCGAATCCCACCGCTGCCAACCAAGTATTTTTTTTACATTTTTTGGCCAGAATCATTATTATTGCTCGGTCCATCAGTACTCCAAGCATGTTTCCATAGTGTAGCGGTTATCACGTTCGCCTAACACGCGAAAGGTCCCCGGTTCGATCCCGGGTGGAAACAGACTCTCTTTTTGTCTTGTTTTGCCCCTACAATTATGGAATGGGACCATGCAGTTGCGCACGAAGTAAAGCACAAAAAATGATGATGTAAAACACGTAAAATCCCTGCCACGTTTCAAAATACAACTTTTTGCGCTGCGACATGCGACTTGCGACACCTGCGGCAAGCTGCGGCAGCGACACACGGTTCACAATCTTTTTGGTGTTTGCGACATCCCTATGCACTAGTAGTACTATCCACGTGTACTGCACGCGCACCCAGAGTAGAAACTGTACTCTGTTTGTGTATGTCGCTTGTCGCATGTCGCGAAAGTTGAACTTTTTCCAACTTCTGCGACAGGTGCCTTGCGACTGTACGCGACAGGCATTTTCTTGTCGGAACTGTCGCAAATCGCGCGTCGCATCGCAAAACGTTGTTTTGTGAATCGGCCTTGAGGGCAAACACATGTTGATATATTCGACATCACATTCTGAAATTTAATCAAGAGAACAAAGCCAAGAGCATGTGAGTCGTCGATCTCTCATGCTCTGCATTCGTTTAATTATGCTGATTACGCCCCACCCGACCACTTCCCGTCGGAGTTTGGCTACTGTGTTGGCCTAATCGGCATACCATATTATCTCTATTACAAGCGCAATCTCTTGTAGAAGCCCGGTCTCTATAATAAGTGCACTCCAAGAGGGCTTCGAAGATATGATTAGTCTGTCATCGCTGTGTGACAGACTGGCGAGACAGTTACTGTCTCGCCAGTCTGTCACACAGTGATGTACAAGCGCAGTCTCCAATATAAGTGCAGGGCTTATAATGGAGAACCGTATGGATCATGTTAATGCATGTTTGATGTCGCACAGTATCACACAGTATCACACAGTATCACACAGTATCGCATAAACACATGCTGTGGTAAAAGTCTGTGATCCCCGAGATCTAAAGTACAGACTCAGTCAATCAGGAAGCATGAAACGGCAGTCCCGGTACCTGCTGGGAAACGTTCTGCTACTGATATAATGAAAAATAATAGGCAACTTGTACATGTACCAGGTGGTTGAAAAATGATAAGCCCAGTCTCTAGTAGAGGCCCAGTCTCCGGACTGGTTGAAAAAAATATTAACGCAGGGCTTATAATGGAGATAATACGGTATGTTATTGTTTTACGGCACCGTCCCCGGCTACCATGTCCTATCTGTGAAGCGACTTTAGTGTGTGCATCAAACTAAAGTGTCGAACATGTGCCGGGATGCGCAGAGCTGTACATAACACCAAGGATACATTACCTCCACAGGGGTGTCGGAAGGTATTTTAGGATGGTGCGGTCAGCCACCTGAAGTGCGACTTACTCGTGGGGTTGCGGGTGTCTTCTCTGAAAAGTTTTGAAAATTAGAGCCCAAATCAGTGCCTTTTATTAATTCACAGGGTACCAAGGGCAAAGAGTGGTATGGTCAATACCGTAGTTACCGTAGCGTGTCCGACGCCCCTGCCCCAAGAGTGTGCATTTCCAGCTATGGGGTTGCGACGGCAGAACTTCACGTCACGTGACGGACCCGTACACGTATGAATCCATTAAAAAGAACTGGATCCGGGTGGATACAAAGGTCTGTGATTCCATAACTACGGCCTGGCAGTGAACATCGCTAGCTATATTTGTAGCTATACAGTGGCCTTTACTGTACTTAAAAACGGAGCCTCTCTGTTGCACTTCCGCTCTGTGCTGGCAAAATTAGTTTTTTTCTTCACGTAAACTTTTGATGAAAGATTTTTGCTTGGAGTATGTAGGGCTGGTATGTGAGGTAGCGTGGCCGAGTGGTCTAAGGCGCTGGATTAAGGCTCCAGTCTCTCCGGAGGCGTGGGTTCGAATCCCACCGCTGCCAACCCAATACTTTTTTCGAGTTTATTTTGTGCGTTGCTATACATCTACATCCTGGGCACATCTGAACTCCAAGCAAGTTTCCATAGTGTAGCGGTTATCACGTTCGCCTAACACGCGAAAGGTCCCCGGTTCGATCCCGGGTGGAAACAGACTCTCTTTTTTGTTTTCTTTTTGCCCCTACATTCGAGAGAACAAAATCCAAGCGCATGCAGCTCGCCAATCTCTCATGCTCTGCAGTCATGTGTGCCGATTACGCCTGACCCGCCTGTTTCCGTTGTTATAATTATTACGATGCACTGACGAGTGAGCACAAGCTAGGATTTGACCAAGTACAGTCAGATCTTGCTTATCCGGTCTTGTTTTATCCGGATCCCTCGCCATCTGGAAGAAAATCGTTGGTTACCGATTTACAGCATATGTCATGCATACATAATAACATACAGTATGTGCATTCGATTATTCGGTTCTCTCGTCTATCCGGATATTTTTGTGGAAAACGGATGTGTGCGGTCAAGAGAGGTCTGATTCTACAGTGCGCCGAGCTGGTGTGTACCCACTGATTCACCAACGCATAGATCGTAGTACAGCGAAGAATAGGAACAACTTGGCTGTTGTTGTAGGCTACGACTCTGACCCCTCCCCTTTCTATGATACCTGGCAATAGTGTAGGCTCTACATACTGATGTCTGATACAAGTCCGTGGATCCCCGAGCTGCACATCGTGCTTAATGTCACACACAGAGCTTATAACGTAGCAGACTCCGCGGAGGACGTTCAGGTCGGTTGGATCGGTTGTCATCAGCTTTCTGACGATTGTCTTTCGGCATGAAACCCGGAGTTACAACCATCCCGAACGTTCTCCTCTGAGTCTGCTATGTACACCACGGTGTCCGATATGTATTGTCTATAGAACGTCATAGCAACCACCTTGTCACAGGTCGGGGAGATGCTGCCTGGTTGCGTATTTGCTATTCGTTTGAGTAGTTCCTAGGCAGTTGGGTTTGTTCCGGGACTATCTGTGCAGTTTGTGTGAGTGGGTCGGACGCTCATACCATATTCACTCAATCAGGAGCCCTGCAAAAATTATTGTACATAATTATGTTACGTGTGCGCATGTGTGTGTATGTGTGTGTGTGTGTGTGTGTGTGTGTGTGTGTGTGTGTGTGTGTGTGTGTGTGTGTGTGTGTGTGAGGTGTGTGTGTGTGTGTGTGTGTGTGTGTGTGTGTGTGTGTGTGTGTGTGTGTGTGTGTGTGTGTGTGTAAGGTGTGTGTGTGAGTGTACGTGTGTGTGTGTGTGTGTGTGTGTGTGTGTGTGTGTGAGTGTACGTGTGTGTATGTAACTGTGACTGTATATGTGTGTGCGTGTGCGCGCGCTTGCTCGTCCGCACGTGGACAAGCTTGTGTGCATATGTATGCGTGTGTGTGTGCATGCGTGCGTGTGTGTGTGTGTGTGTGTGCGCTCACCCGCGTGTGGACATGTGTGCGTGCGTGTGTATGCTTGTGTGTGTATGTGCGTGCTCGCATTCGCAAATATATTTCACAGGGGACATCATCATTAGTGCCTCCAACCTGACGCCAGTCCCTAACTCACTTCCAGCTGAGCCGGTCATAACAATTGTTGTTAGTTGCATGAACTCAAACAATCATCACGGCGTGTCCTGAATCTACGTGTCCCTTTGCTCTCCACGTCGCTGTATGATTGAGAAATGCCAAACTGAGGTGAGTTTCTCTCTTGGTACACACATTCTTTACCCGCGCTGCTGCTGCTGCTGCTGCTGCAGTGCTGCTCAGTGACATCAGACTGTGTGTGTCATGTTAGCACAGGGCGCTGTACTGACAGCCTTAGCCCTGTGATGAACGGAGGTATGTGAGCTGGTGCACGGCGCACACTCGACTCACACGATCTGATCACAACCTCTTGATCTAAAATCGAATAAGCCCTGTGATGAACGGAGGTATGTGGGCTGGTGCAGGGCGCACACTTGACTGACACGATCTGATTACCTTTTAATCTTAATAATCGAATACGATCTTGCGCATGCACAATCTGGACAGCTGTGCAGCAAGCATAGCGCAGTGTTGCTTACGCTGGTGTGCAGTGGTGTTAAATACTACTTGACCCCTAACCATCTCCCCTGATGCAGGAAGGTTGTGCACAATCCGATAGTGTGTCCATGGCGACATGCATGTACATGTAGTGCTTGGTAGTCATGACATCGGAAGTTATTTTAATAATTAAAAAACTACAACTTGCAGATCCACTGTGACCGCAGCCAAGTACGGTGTCCGCTGTCCAGGCCCATCATCGCACTTGCTGGCGTGACATTTCTTTTCGGTACTACAGTTGCGGACACAGCACGTTATCATGCCAAAATGACAAAAACGTTAAACTTTTTGGTCGTTAAACGTTCCGGTCTTTCAGTAGGCTTTTTCTCCACGTAAGCTTTTGATGAAAGATTTCTGTTTGGAGTATGTAGGGCTGGTATGTGAGGTAGCGTGGCCGAGTGGTCTAAGGCGCTGGATTAAGGCTCCAGTCTCTCCGGAGGCGTGGGTTCGAATCCCACCGCTGCCAACCTGGTACTTTTTTCTAGTTTTTTTGTGTGTTGTTATGCATAATATATCCTGGGCACATCAGTACTCCAAGCAAGTTTCCATAGTGTAGCGGTTATCACGTTCGCTTAACACGCGAAAGGTCCCCGGTTCGATCCCGGGTGGAAACAGACTCTCTTTTTTGTCTTCTTTTGCCCCTACTTGCAAGTACAGTGAAACCTGTCTAAGGGGTTGATTATATGTGCAGCTCCAGCCCGGGCTGGTCGACAGGCGGGCCAGCCCGCCTGCAACGGTATCTCGGGGCTGTACACAAATCCACACAAAACCTGTGGTGCGTTTACATGGCAAGCGGGCTGGCCCGGCGAGGCGGGATCCCGCCTCGAGGCAACCGGGATCCCGGCTAGGCGGGCCAGAAAAAGCATATATAAACAGACCAGCCCGGGCCAGAGTTGTATTATTATGGTATCGACACTGCGTTCATACTACAAAATAGGTACCTTTACCTTTTGAGGGAAGTTATAAAGAGGATTCCCGATATTGTCTTGAAAATCTATGAAGCTTTTGTACAGCAACAAGAAGGACGTGCAGTGAGCACTGTTTATTTGTCGACATGCATGATTTACATTAAAATGGAAAGGAAATACTTGCAAAATACTTTGATATGGACAGCTAAAAAATGTGAAAAAGAGGAAAAAGAAACGAGGTGATACAACACACCGAACATGTGCCACAGCGCGAAAAGAAATCAGCAGAAGAATACATTGTGTGAGAAAAAAAGTTTTTAGCCAATTTAGGTTGATAACCTGAGTATGGCTTGCAGCCCTGCGTTTCAGCCCGGGGCAGCACACTACAGTCGTAGTGTGTTTGCTGCATACTCACAACGGGCTGGCGTGTGCTCAACACATATAAACTCACTGCGGGCTGGCGACCAGCCCGGCCTTGCACATGTAAACACCCTTGGCGGGCTGGCCCGCTCGCTCCAGCCCGGGCTGGAGTTGCGCATATAATCGGCCCCTAAGACGACCGCTCATGGGACCTTCAAAATCTGGTCTCTGTTACCAGGTGGTCTCCTTATCCAGGGTCATTTGACTGGACATAGCATCCCTTGGCCCTGGTCGCAGTGGTCTTCTGGGACAGGTGGTCGCCTTGACAGGTGTTAATGTACAATAGAGAGGTTCTGCTACACGGAAACTACGTACCAAACTCCGTGTCAACTGCAGTGAAGTTTGACACGGATTTTTCGTACGTTGCGCCGGTTCTGCTGTACGTAGCATGCTCGAAGCATGCACGAACACCCCGCCACATGTACTCTGTACGCTCACTTTTCACACGGAGTCCAGTGCGTGTGAAGCGCGCTTAACACGGAAAACGGTATGAAAAAATCCGTATCAAACTAAATCCCGTACCGCGGCGAAGTTTCCATACGTACTTTGGCACGTTTTACCATGTGGCAGAACCTCACTATTGTACATTCGAGGGAACGGAACCAAGCGCATGCAACTGGCCGATCTCTCATGCTCTGCCGTCATGTGTGCCGATTACGCCCGACCCGACGGTTTCCCATTGCTATGTTACGATGCACCACTAACGAGTGAGCAAAAGCTAGGATTTCACCAAGTACAGTGCGCCGAGCGGGTATGTTCTCACTGACTCACCAGCGCATAGATCGAGGTACAGCGAAGAATAGGAACAACCTGGCTGTTGTAGGCTACGACTCTGTACATGCCATGATTGTGACCTTCAGGTATACATGAATGATAGCTGCGACGGTCATATTGCATAATCAGTTCATCGCTATGACCAGGTGGTGCAGCGAGGAGTCGCCGAGGACTGTGCCGATTACGTCATGCATGTTGGGGATTACGTCATACTTGAGGGCTATTACGTCGTGTATGTTGGTGATCGTGTTGTCACTTGTCAGATGCATCTGGTGACAATGTCCAACGGGCATGCGTGTGTGTTTGTGTGTTTGTGTGTGTGTGTGTGTATGTGTGCGTGTGTGTTTGTGTGTATTCGTGCATGTATGTCTCTTGTATGTGTGGTCGTACATGCGTGTGCACCTGTGCATACGTGTTACCTACAGCGCTTACAACACCGGTCTAAGCAGTTACCTCACTCCAGCGGTGCAAGTGGAATGCGCACGTTAGCTGTCCACACACGCCAGGTAAGGCGCTATCCAGCAGTGTTTTCAGTGCAAGCACACGCCAGGTAAGACGCTATCCAGTGCTTTCAGTGCAAGCACATGCCAGGGGGCGCTATGCACTGCTTTCAGTGCAAGCATTGACAGGGGGCGCTATGCAGCAGTGCTTTCAGTGCAAGCATTGACGCGTGCATGCATCACACCTGCTGATTGGCCGCAGCATCCAGACCCCATCCCTGGCTCCTATATAAGCAAACCATCGAACGGTGGAGGGTGGGGTAGGAGGCTTACAATCCACCTCCCCCCCCCCCTTAAATTTATTCTGGGGGAGATTATGTTTGGCTGCCCTGAAAAACCCCTGCTTATTTTCCCCCCAGTACTTGCCCCCCTGCTAAAAAGCTTACCCTCTTTTTCCACCATGTACGCAGCTGGCCTGGTGTGAGATTTAGAGCCTTTAGCACAGCACTGTGATGTGTTGGCCTGAATTTAGTAGCTTTACTGTGCGAATGCAACACCTTTGTCGTGATGTCTTGCGAGCAGTCATGTGAGAAACTGTCCCGGCGCGAATTTAGAGCCTTTCGCAGCTCTCACGTGCTGGCCGGAATAGAGTTTCCGTGCACAATGCAAAACCTGTGCAAATGTGTCTAGCACCGTGTGTGCTGCGATATCTTGTGCACAGTTGTGCACAGGTGTTCCTAAGCCAAGTGCAGGTCATGCAACACAGGGTATGTGTGTGTGTGTGTGGGGGGGGGGGGGGGGGTATGTGTGTGTGGGGGTGGGGGGGTATGTGTGTGTGTGTGTGTGTGTGTGTGTGTGTCCCATATGGTGCAGTGGTATGTGCAGCGATTTCCAATCGATAGGTTGCGGGTTCGATTCCCGACGATTATGGTCACACACGTCTTTCTTCTCTTTCTCAGACTCTTCCTGACTTTTCTTTCATTCTCCTGGGTGGTTACCAACAGCCAGTGCATGCCGGAGTATGTGGTGTGATGTGTGTGCGGGAAAAAAGAAGAAAAAAAAGACCAAAAAGTAGGGATTCACTGGCCAGAAAAAAGCCACTTCAAAGCTGTGTGGTGTAGACCAGGCTGAATAGTGGTGGTCAATTCTTCAGCCTTGCAAGCTGTTGAATGGTGCAATCCCAGCACAAGTTGCTATGGCTTCTGCTGTAGCATCGCTATCATCGCCTCTGGCGATGGGCGTCCAATGGTCAATGGTGTGTGTGTGTGTGTGTGTGTGTGTGTGTGTGTGTGTGTGTCTGTTAGAGAGAGTGTGTGTGTGTGTGTCTGTTAGAGAGAGAGAGAGAGAGAGAGAGAGTGTGTGTGTGTGTGTGCATCTTTCCCTCAAACCAGCGAAGAAGAAGAGTTTCAGTATTTTCAGCCCCCGCCTAAAATGCTTCTTTGGCGGCTAATGGTTGCTGTGAGTGTGTATGGTTACGGTATGTTCCCCAATATACATACATATCTCCAATACTACAGTTGCGCTCACTGCAATCCGACCCAATATGCAAAGCTGGCACCCTCAACTTCCACGGCCCTTGACGCCCTGGCAGTGGAATGAATGCGGCTGGACGTACACATGTGCACCCACAATGATCTAATCGGAACTGGTCCAGGGCGCCAGCTTTGCACTTTGGGTCGGATTTCAGTGAGCGCAACTGTAGTACGTCTTCAATAGTAGTACATGTTGAGCGTGGATCACAATATCAAGGGACACATCTCTAATAGTAGTACGTGCCAGAATGATGTGATGGGCATCACTGGGATATATTTACAGTAAAAGATGCGACTAACAACCACCCCTCGGGGCAGGCGGTCCTTAGTTAGAGGTTTGCACCGCACAACCATAATATGAATGTGAGACCGTCCGTGCCTGGCGAAGTGGTCTGTAGTGCCATGCTGGTCGCTAGTCACGGTGGTCTTTAGTTACACGTTTTACCGTACGTGGATCCACCATACATCGTATGTCTGTCACGTCCCAGAATAAGACAACTGCTGCCTGATAGTCCTGTGATAGCAGGATCTACATAGTGAGCAGCTCTGTGCTGAGCTGTCACGCCCTTTTAGTACAACATGGTTTGGCCAGTGTCTTGTCCCACGTGCTTAGCATGTAGGTTGAGCGACACGCGCTTTCCCACGTAGGTGACATGCCTTCTTGGCATGACACGTTATGGGATCCAAGGCCGGAACCTGGTCAGGTAGGTTCTCGCGTTGTACGTTTCCTGGAAGTTCTTCACTTCCTGGAAATGTGACCCCAGGCTTTGTGCAAAACCACGTCACTACGACGTTCTACAGGTTTCCACGATGCCTCGGTGCTTCGTGCAAAGAGCCAAGACTAATAATTATGACATTGTATATCAAGAGCTAGGTGCAAGGCAGGAGACGTGTGCAAGAACCAAAACCGTCACCGCGCAAGAGGTCAGAGTATCACGCAAGCAAGACCAAGAATGCAACAGAACTTACCATAAGAAGCCGCTGAACTATGGCACGTTGGGTGAGCGGGCTCCCCAACGTGACCCTCATATACTCACATTGTACTCTGACGTGGGTGAGCGGGCTCCCCACGTCCCAATTTGGTCTTTCTTCTCTCGATGTCTTTCTTTCTCTTTCTTCTCGAATGATCACCGTACGTATATTCTGCATTTCTGCTGACTGGCTGCGCACATTCCGGTTTGACTTGTTCTGCTATTTCCTGGAATTACCTCGCCATGATCACGCCATTATATCTCTGAAGCACCCTATAAAAGAAGCTCTCATTCTCTCTTTTACTTCAGTTCTAGTCTAGTCTAGTCTAGTCTAGTCTAGCAGTCGAGACTCGGTCTCAGCTCTCTGTCTTCGTTTACTTTGAGCTCGGATTTGATACTACTCACAACGTAAAACTAACAGTCTCTGTCTGTTGATCGTGTGGGGTTGAACTTGGACCAAGCCAGCTATATTGGTTGGCCCCTGGGTTGTGTTGGGCTTGTCGTGAGGCCACACGTCTATATTCAGTCGCCGCTCGTAGTGATTTCGGGGTCCGGTCACTGTGAGCCGGGGACGCGACATTTGGTGCTGTGACCAGGATGGTCTAAGTTCTCCTCACTCCGTAACTGCAACGACGCGATGTCCACAGCAGTCTTTCGTGAACAACCTCGTCTCTGATGGCAGGTTCTTGGCGATAGACGTGGCAGAGCAACAGCAGTGTTGGACGCTCAAACTTGGTACGAAGAAAACTCCGAGTGCGTTTCTCTTTCGCATCCAGCACTGGCTTTCGTTCCGGATCTCGTGTTCCTGTAGCGCTGCAGCGCGAGTTCGTAGTGCACGACGAGCTTGCTTTGCTGCGGACTACATGGCGGACACCAAGGTGCGAAATTTATTGCCAGTTGCACGATCGATCGAGGAGTTGTTTGCATTCAGGCAGTTCTCAAGTACGAGTGCAGTGCGCGTTGTTCAGCTTCAGATATGGAAGGGTTCGTGAACCCGTGTACCATGTGTACGCACATGAGCCGTAAACAGGGCTTGGGTCCTCTTTACGGAGCGTTGTGAAAGTAGTCACTACGACTGGATCACGGAGTAGTGCAGTGCAGTTTTCAAGTTTCGACAAGAAAACGCCACTGTTCGGACATGGTGTTTGTTGAGACCGCTTGAAGCTCTTGAAGCTTGACAAGTCGTCTCTTCAACGATGAGGCCTTACTGACGTTTGCACTCAGTTTGTTCTCAGTCGCGCAATGGCGAGTGCTGTTTGAAGACCCGTACCGGTTGTTTTATGGCTGAAACGATGGGAGGATGCAGACCACGTCGCTGGTTGTGGACGAATTCAAATCTCGTTCTGCGTGTCGCCGGACGCACCAGACGAAGATTTGTGACGCCCAGCGTTGGTGCTGGCGGAAGCAGTTTTATCTGCGAATGCTCTGGACGATCATGTCGCGAGAATGGCGAGTTCAGACCTTGTTGTCGATCTTCATTCTCCAGACGTTCTGTTTGTGAAAAAAAAAAGTTTGTGGAGAGGATGGCCGGGACAGTACATGACCTACTAGTATGTGCTGGAGTGTATACTCGTTACTCTTCGCGGTCCTTGTGCTTGGTGAAAGTTGACCAGTTTCCTGCAGAAGGAACTGTGTCCTGTGAAAGTGTGATGTTGATGGGTGCCTTTGCATCCTCAACAAATGACTGAACTGTGCACCGGTTCGGGTTGTGTACGGCTCAGAGGAGTCAGTTGGTCTCTGTGGATGAGGCGCCCGGATCGGTCAGTTGTAGCCAATTTCGGTTGGTGGTGATGAGCTTGCGTAGTGAGCAACGCGTTACGGAGAAGTGGACGGTGGTGACCATACAGGCCAGGATGGGATTCCTGGGGCCGAAGAAGTATGGTCTGCGCTTCATATAGGACGAGGTCCTAGAACTGAAGTGGAAAGGCTGTGGTGGGAGAGGATGATTTGGATCTGGATCCCTCGAGCACAGTGTTGGCTGATCAGGGGACGCCCTGTGTCGAGGAGCCTGGTAGGCGAGACTCATCTGGGGATGATGAGTTGTTGCGAGTGAGGTCCCAATTTGCTCGTTACCGGATGGATTTTACTACGAGCTCTTTACCGATCTGGTTTCACAACTGTGTAGCACCATCGGATTGAGTGAATGCTTTATGTGCCTGGCACCTGGCGAGGAATTGTATTTTCTCGTGAGCAGTCAGTGATATTGTTCAGTCGTATGAGCCCGATACGAGTGATATGCTGTATTCGGCTGATGACATGGTGTTCGCACCAAAACCTGTGGTGGATTGGACTTGCATCCTGCATCTCCAGTTGACTTACCTATTGTATCCGTCGCGGAGCCTGGTGGATGACACTGGCAACGTCGCGGTATCTCACCGACTACCATATCGGTCGAGGATAGTCACGGGGACGTGATTCTTCAACGGCGGGGGAAATGTCACGTCCCAGAATAAGACAACTGCTGCCTGATAGTCCTGTGATAGCAGGATCTACATAGTGAGCAGCTCTGTGCTGAGCTGTCACGCCCTTTTAGTACAACATGGTTTGGCCAGTGTCTTGTCCCACGTGCTTAGCATGTAGGTTGAGCGACACGCGCTTTCCCACGTAGGTGACATGCCTTCTTGGCATGACACGTTATGGGATCCAAGGCCGGAACCTGGTCAGGTAGGTTCTCGCGTTGTACGTTTCCTGGAAGTTCTTCACTTCCTGGAAATGTGACCCCAGGCTTTGTGCAAAACCACGTCACTACGACGTTCTACAGGTTTCCACGATGCCTCGGTGCTTCGTGCAAAGAGCCAAGACTAATAATTATGACATTGTATATCAAGAGCTAGGTGCAAGGCAGGAGACGTGTGCAAGAACCAAAACCGTCACCGCGCAAGAGGTCAGAGTATCACGCAAGCAAGACCAAGAATGCAGCAGAACTTACCATAAGAAGCCGCTGAACTATGGCACGTTGGGTGAGCGGGCTCCCCAACGTGACCCTCATATACTCACATTGTACTCTGACGTGGGTGAGCGGGCTCCCCACGTCCCAATTTGGTCTTTCTTCTCTCGATGTCTTTCTTTCTCTTTCTTCTCGAATGATCACCGTACGTATATTCTGCATTTCTGCTGACTGGCTGCGCACATTCCGGTTTGACTTGTTCTGCTATTTCCTGGAATTACCTCGCCATGATCACGCCATTATATCTCTGAAGCACCCTATAAAAGAAGCTCTCATTCTCTCTTTTACTTCAGTTCTAGTCTAGTCTAGTCTAGTCTAGTCTAGCAGTCGAGACTCGGTCTCAGCTCTCTGTCTTCGTTTACTTTGAGCTCGGATTTGATACTACTCACAACGTAAAACTAACAGTCTCTGTCTGTTGATCGTGTGGGGTTGAACTTGGACCAAGCCAGCTATATTGGTTGGCCCCTGGGTTGTGTTGGGCTTGTCGTGAGGCCACACGTCTATATTCAGTCGCCGCTCGTAGTGATTTCGGGGTCCAGTCACTGTGAGCCGGGGACGCGACATGTCTTACCCATTCATCATCTTTGTGCCTTTCTACACTGTGTGGTGCCCTGCCTGGAGTGTTATTACAGGCATCTACAGCTGTAAGGGGTCATTATTTACACCCATGGCATTGAGGCCATCAATCTTGCGAGAATCAACGAAAGTACAGTCGCCAACACTACTTTTGTAGTACAGTCTCCTTAATAGGCGATTCACACGACCGGCACTTGCACGTTTTGCAGGGAGTGATATACGATAAAAGTGACTGTGTGGATTCACACGGCTGCACTCAACGACAGGCACGTTTGCATTTTTGAATGATTCGCCCACTAGTAAGTAGCCTTGGGTATTTCAAATTTTCAAAACATGCATACAATAAGAAATCATGTTGAAAATAGCCGCGTAAAAAATCAAGTCCTGTTTCGCGCTTTTTGGTGTAAATGCACTCGTGCATGCCACGATTATCGTGAAAGTAGGCCTCCAGCTAACTCGCTTGCACTTTTCAGCCACTTTCAGCCACTTTTCTCGTTCACAGGTAAAACACCATAGCAACATTCCTGTGCACGTGGATTTGCCTGTCGTGTGAATCGCCCAGAACTAGTACAGGGCAGATAGTACAGGGCAGATAGTACAGGGCAGATAGTACAGGGCAGATAGTACAGGGCAGATAGTACAGGGCAGATAGTACAGGGCAGATAGTACAGGGCAGGCCACCTTTGAAAAAATAAAATAAATAGCTGTTACTTTTCGAACTTAGAAGTTGCAACTTCGGCGGTAATAGTCATGAAGTTGGTTGCTCCAACGAGGAGCACACGCTTCTTGCCGAACTTGACACTTGACTGACTCACGACTGCCATCCGGAGCACACGAGGACGTGCGACTAGTTGTTGGAGGTGACAGCGTTGTGAATAGCTATACTGGCCCTCAGCGTCTGTTTAGCACAACTCCATGAGCGACTCTGACTCACGCTGCTACCTGGGGCTTCACGAGGTGTTCGTCGCGCTGGAAACAAAGCGTCTCTGTAAGCTTGTATCCCTGGTGATGGTTTGGCCTGGAGAGCAGTATATAAGTGGTGCTTTTCAGGCACAATCTTCCTCAGCCTACTCAAGCTCAACTGATGAGGGGTGAATTCCCCGAAACACTGTGTATTGAGCAGGGAGTGGTGCTTTCTTTCAGGTTTGCCGAGCGGAAGGTGCGACGTGCTCCTCGTGTGCTCCGGATGGCAGTCGTGAGTCAGTCAAGTGTCAAGTTCGGCAAGAAGCGTGTGCTCCTCGTTGGAGCAACCCACTTCAGAACTGTTACTTTTATTGGGGATAATACGGTATATAAGTGCTGTGTGTGAGCAGTGCACCATGGTGCACATGATTGTGCATGTGTATACTAGTACAGCGGTTGCGATTTTCAGTGTACAGGCAACTTTGCGTATAACGACACTCGGCGGCGGGGCATCAGAAAAGTTATTCGCGAAGTGCCCTTATACCCGAAGTCTCGTTATATGTAAACAGGTAGAATGAACTTTACTCCGGGCATGGAAATTCTGTCGTTATTCGCGAATTGTCGTTATATCCGCAGTCGTTATTAGCGATTTTGAGTGTATGTAGGAGAGAAAACAGAGTAAAAAGCTGAACTTGATCGCTCCTGCTGGTTCCTCTTTGTCTTTTTCCCGTATTTGCAGAGACCCCCGTATCGGCAAGGACATGATGTTACAAAGTAACAGCTTCTAATACGATTGTGAGCATCCACTGGCTGCTGAGCGGCTTGTTGTCATCTACAATTGCTGCTACTGGAAATGTGGCATCCTCTTCGCTCCAGACCCCCCCCCCCCCCATTGCAAGTGCAGCCCGTGCCCGATAAATAACGACATTATTTCTTCTGCTTCTGCTTGTGTATTCTAAATATTCTGTGCCAATCTTGTTGTCGCTTCGTACTGTCAAACTCAAAGACGTCAAGATCTCTTTCAATACTGCATGCATAATCGTGCACCATCTCTCTGGTGTATTGGTCACGTTCAATATGGAGTAAGAATGGCCTCGGACATTAGTGGACATTAAAGCGTAACTTGTAGTTCCATGGTCCTTTTTCTTTTCAATACGGAGTGTAACTTTTGCTTCTCGCTCCTCTTCCCATTTTCAGCATTCTTTGCTGTACTGTGCTTGAGCCTGTATTTTCTGCTTTCTGCTCTGTTTTGCTCTGTGTCTTGCCTAGAAGTTAGGGTTAAAATGCGCACGGAAGTGCTTTACAATCTCCGCCAGCCGCGTGTTACATAGCGACCAGTTATCGTTTTCACACGTGCTCTCTCGACTGGTGTTTTCTCCAAAATATGGCTTCACTCCATGTGAAATTTCTTTGAAATGAACATTTTGTGTCCAGTGAGGGAGAATAAATAATTCCTGTTTAGTGACATGCTGTTTCTTTTTCCGCTCTACTTATTGGAGCTGATGAAAGAGAGAGAACTAGTAAGAGTGCAGGACGAATAATTGTCTGCATGCAGAGAGCTCTTCAATTTACAGTTCTGGCCAGAAATCCAACCTCATGAATAAGGTGGAGCTGCGCTCAAGTGAGCAGAGTGGTGTGTGTGTGTGTGTGTGTGTGTGTGTGTGTGTGTGTGTGTTTGTGCGTGTGAGTGTGTGTGTGTGTGTGTTTGTGCGTGTGCATGCGTGCGTGCGTGCGTGTGTGTGGGTAGCAGTAGTGACAGCAGTTCTATTTTGATTGATCACCACTATAAAGCAAGCCCATAGGAGGGGTAGGCACATGGGTGGGTGTTCGTGTGTATGTCTGTGTGTGTGTGCGTTGTTGTAGTGCTGCAGTTTCAACTGTTGTGGTCATGTAACTCGTGGTGCATAGCCACTTGGTAAGCCTATGCATGGGACTATGCAGACCAGCCGCATGCACGGTACTAGTCGTTGCATGTACGATGATCATCCTGCCTCTGCACACATGCATTATGAATCTATGATATGTCACACATGATTTATCGTGTGTAAGAAATATCAGAAATAAGAATAGAAAGTCGTTTTTCAAACATCCACGCTATAACCGATACCAAGAGTACATAACCCCCAAGAGTGTGCAACGCCGATCCAGCTCTGCATAGGGTCTTGGTCGAGCGGAATCGGATCTTCTGATGTCATGCGTACACTCCACACCAGCGCAAGGCCGGTCTCGAGGCAGGGCACCATTGTTTTTGATCCAAGAGTACCCGCGACTCCCCGGGTTCCCCTCAGATGTGTACGGTATTATGACGCAAAGATCCGATTACGCTCGACCAAGACCCTATGCAGAGCTGGATCAGGCGTTGCACACTCTGGGGGGTTATGTACTCTTGCCGATACCTACTGTGTTACGTTTTGTATGAGAGAGAAAAAGTGTGGACTTTCCCACCATTCCAGATCAATGCAGAGCAATGGCATGGCACCACTGATCACACCATCCCATAGTGCAGCACCTGACAAATACGAGCTCAATGCACCACAGGCGTCACTAGGTACTGTATTATAAAGTCAACAGATATTCGGCGCATATTTATTTTCGGCTATTTTCAGCCTGGTTATGTTTGGCCGAAAATTTGTTGCGGCCAACATTTTGTTTTGCAAGGTTCAGTGTGACAGCGGCTACAGCAGTACAGGCCGAAAACTTGATGCGATCGAAATGGGTTTTAGCCCTGGGAGGCCGAAATTAGAATGGGCCGAACATTTGTTGACTTACAGTAGCCAAAAAACCGCAGTCGGTCCTGTTTTACTTATTTGTTTTTTTGAAAAAAGAACACAAACCCGGCTCAAGACAAAATAGCAAAAATATAGAATGCAAAATTGCAGGGAGGACGAAGATACGACTGGAACACGGAAGTTGAGGGTTGACAGAACAAAAAAAAACTATTGAGTCGGGGCTGCCTGTCTGCCAGTGTAGCTGTGTAAGTGGGGCGTTATCTACTTCTGGAGTAATCAGCTGCTGTCTGGTGATCGGACCAGCACCAATTAAATCGATTTAAGTGGATATAGAGGTCGGATTGGGAAAGAATTCACGGTCTGAAGAGTGGCTAAGGGTACAGCATGTCTGTCAATGATATTGCAGATTTGGAGCCTGAAAGGGGGAGGGCGGGGGGAGGGGGTCTTAGACCCCAGTGCTGCTAACAGTTCAAAAATGTGACAGCTGGCTCACATACATCTCGTACGTACACATGCACATGCATACTCACACGCACATGCACACGCACGCATCCCCTCCCCCCCCCCCCCCACACACACACAGTATCCACAAAGGCACACACTGTGTGTGAACAATATTCGTAACTGCCAACCATCGAGATTTAGCCGGGACCGTCCCGATATCGCAGGGTGGTAATAGGCACCCAAAAGTGTATTTGCCGCTTGCCTCAGCTAGATTTGTAAACATTTTCATAGCTAGGTATGTCATTGTCCCGATCTCAGGTTTGCAAAGGTTGGTAGGTATGGAACATGTATGTATGTGCAGGAAGTGCGTGTGTGTGTGTGTGTGTGTGTGTGTGTGTGTGTGCGCGTGTGTATGGTACATGGTGTGTGTGTGTGTGTGTTTGTGTGTGTGTGGTGTGTGTGTATGTGTGTGTGTGTGTATGTGTGTGTGTGTGTGCGTGTGTGTGTGTGTGTGTGTGTGTGTGTGTGTGTGTGTGTGTGGTGTGTGTGTGTGTGTGTGTGTGTGTGTGTGTGTGTGTGTGTGTGTGTGTGTCTGCCAGCTAGTTCGGTTGGTGGGTACACTTATGCCTGATTGTGTTGGGTCTGTTGCCAACGGGCTCGGCTACTTGAAGGTGTAATGTTGTACCTGCCACCTTTGTTGGTTCCAGGGTTCATATACTTTCTGTTTGAAGTATACATACCTGTTAACCATGGACTGCTTCTGGCTAGATTAACTCTTGTGTAATCAACGGTGCTAGTGAAGCTTATATCAGATCCACTCTGATTTAGCCACCCACACTAGTAGCAAGTATTACCTTCACTGGGGGCAGGGGTAACTGCAGTTGGATCCCAGGACGGATACCCTGATGCCGTCAGTCCTTTTTCTGCACTCTGTCCTCACCCACTTACTGAGGTGTGGTGAGCCCATAAGTGGGATCATTTTCAAGTCCACCCAGAGTTTTGGGGATTTCAGGGGGTGTCAGCCGTTGGGCGGTTCAATAGCCAATTGAGTCCTCTTTCCAAGATTCCTTTTGAGTCTCTCTCCCCTCTCCCGGGGAGACCCACGTGACCAGTTTTGGCAGTGAGCAACAAGTACAAGTACAAGTGTGTGTGTGTGTGTGTGTGTTCAAAATTGTTACCCAAACTCCATTTTAGTCATGAATTTTAGCGAAAGATTTCACTTACCTGATTCCGTAGACCATGGTAGGCTTGCCATGGTCCATCTGTAGAACCTGGTATTGGACTTGCCACTCGTAGCCGTGAGAAGACGAATACTGGTAGATGAGCGATTACGCAGCTACACATCACCCAGCCAAACCGGTAGTTACACTCGCTATAGCGACTGTCACTCCCGCTAGACACCACACCGCCGACCCACTCTAGCTCTTGACTCTGCTGCTCCAATCTCCAGGGCGCATTCCGCGGAGGGTCCGACCGACGAAGTTAGTTAGTTACCTTCACGTCGAGTCTACCACGGTGTACGGAGCGTATCTTCTTACCTGCGCCGCCTGGCTTTGACGGTGAACAAGTACCCGACTGCCTGGGTTAGACTACCGCCATGTTACTAAGACAGTAGAAACCGGAGTGAGTGGCCCAGCAAGGCGGGAACATAGAAACTGCAGCATGGACTGCAGCAGCATGCTACCACCTTTTTTTGCGTTTCAGAAGCACTGAGGTCGTGAGGATGCTCGAGTGCCTCGCTAACTTTGCTAGTTCGTCGTGTTCCAGTTTAGTTTTGCACGAAATGCCATGCAACCCCGCTCTCCAGCACAACGCTAGCTAGCCGCAGCAACGACTCCGGTCCTACAGGCACACGCCAGATAAAACTGTGAACAAGTAATTAGTTCACTGCTCGCCGTCCGCAGATTTAGTACGGGTATACCGCGTTGAGCCTCGGGAATCGAAACTAACGTGTTACTTGAAAACATCATTATGTCTTGATTCAACAGACAACAAGCATGAAAAAGAATGGTATGAGTTGGGTTGGAGGTCACTCCGCATTCCGCTCATCAACTCATCTTCCCCTCATAAAACTAACTTTCTTTGTTCAACATGTCCGGCAAAGAAACTATAATTATTTCATTGTTCGCCGGAGTCGACAATACCCGAATGATGATGGGTACCTGGGAAAATGATTACATGTATAGGAGTCCTCAACAAAGCTTGTTGCACTTTGCCCTCCCGTGACAAAACTCTCACTCTCTGTTGCATCTTGCCCAGCAGCCCTCCTGACAAACCTCTCACTCTCTGTTGCACCTTGCCCAGCAGCCCTCCTGACAAACCTCTCACTCTACAAACTGACAAAGATAGACAATACATACATGTGCATGTAACTCATAAGACATCATCATTACATCATCATTACATCATCATTACATGTATTATCACTAGCCCTGCACTGCAGTCTTGTCCTGCACTACTTGTAGCATAGTTGCATTTTTTCCACATAAGAAGTGCCAGCACACGACCCTACTACATTGTAGTATTTGTTGCTAGAAATGTTGCTAGAAATCCAAAATAATCACAGCGTAGATCTATACAGCGTGCAAGACTAGCCAATTGGCAAACACACACATGGCCGGCTTGACGAAGAATGAGTCCACTTGTTCCATAAATGTAATGAAAATGTTACATACATAAACACACGTTGGTAGATCTAATATAGCCGGACGTGGTTGTACGCTGTCGAAATGATGTCCTTCCGCACACCACCAGCGCGAAATACCTCGGCATCTTGATCGATGAACGAATGGCCTGGCAACCGCAAGTTGACCGGTGCATCTCACGCACTGCTAGGAAGATTGGTAGTCTGTGGCGGGCGCGACGTTGCCTCACTCTAGCTAGTCGAAGAAAGTACATCCTATCTGTCATCATGCCGGATTTGATATATGGATCGTCAGCATTATGGCTCTGGCTTGACCCACAACCAGCTAAACCGCTTGCAGGTGGCCCAAAACCGCGCAGCAAGGGCGGTGTTCGGACGACCACGATTTACCAGGGCCAGTGACCTCTTGGAGAGGCTCTCTGTTTATCGCGTGGACGAGGTATACCGCCAGAAACTGCTCGTGCTGGTATGGCGGTGCGTTCATAACCGTGCCAGTCCTGCTCTGCAGGCACTGTTTGTTCGCAACTGCGGAGCAACTCGCCTTCAGCGCAGCCTGGGCCTGCAACAACCAATAGCCAGAAGCCGAGCAGGCCAATGCCGACCGGCATCTCGCGGTTGCCTGTTATGGAACCATATACCTGACACGGTACGAGCCATGGGCAACATCCCAGCATTCCGCCGAGCTGCCATTCCCTACACGTTGTAGACTGCTACACAGTTGGTCATACCATGGTATTCAGTACCCACGAACTTTGCAAAGCCGCGCCGATAATATGATAATGTACCGTGGTGCATGCACCAATGGTACCACCACTTCGTAGACTGCCTCCCGTTCATTTCTGTGCTCCTGTCTTTATTCTCGTCAGCTGTGTACATCAGCAGTTCAATTCTGTGCTCCAGTCCTCTTTATTCTCGTGAGCTGTGTACTTGTTTTGCTGTTTGTTTGGTTTATTTGAATTCGCTCAGTAACCGTGTACTTCAGCTATCCTCTCCTCCCTCTTCTGAATTTGACTCTCCGCTGGCCTTCTCTCCTCCCATCCCCTTACATTGTATTGGGCCTCCGCAGCTCCCCCCCCCCCCCCCCCCACACACACGCACACACTACATTGTCACATAGCACAACTCAACCATTCGCTACCCTGTTATTGAGCACTCCTGCTCGTTTGGTCTCGCGAATCCAAATAAAATCAATCAATCATATACCGAGCATCTAACGTAGAAACTTACGTAGCCTAAGTGAAATACCGAGCACCTTACGTAGAAACTTACGTAGCATAGCGATGTCGTTTTTTCTGCCATGTGAACACAATAAGCTGACAGGATCGCTTTTCTAAAATAACCCCGGGGTTTATGTTACTTATGTACTCTTGACCTACATAGGTCATACCAAGAGTCCATAAATTATGGACTCTTGGCCATACCATGTACGTAGTACATATGTACATTTATAGTTTTTTCCTACATTTCCGCACAATGATCGGTTGTTTTTGTTTGCACAGTGGTTTTCAGCAATGTACTTCTCACTTCCTTGATACTTTTCAATAGCACAACTTGGAGTCGGCGTATAAGCCCATGCCCGCGTATAAGCACATGTTCTCGTATAAGCCCACCGAAATGTCCTTATGAAACAGATAAACCCATCCGCGAGATTCTACGGTATACGTACCTGTGCCAGGGTATCACTATCAGGCTAGGCTCACGATCGAATGGGCAATCGAGAAACCTAGACCCAGAAAGTCCATAACGATACGAAACCATGGAGCGACAAGTAAATGAAGTAATAGTTTGTCTCTTCCCCAGATAGCCATTTTTAGGCTAGCGTATAGCGTAGTAGCAAGAGTGTAAAGTAGCACAGCTGTAGTTATTCCATTAGGAGAGACTCGCAAGGTGCGCATCCATTTACCTCTACAAATTGTAGGGAATCCGTAAATAAGCAAATACGGCACAATAGTATGCCAAGACTCTTTTTAAAGACCAGTCCGACCAATCACCAGTCCGACCAAACTTGTGCATCATGAAAGACCAGCCACCCTATATAAGGGGCGGCGCTTTCGGATTTCTTTCCAGTCGTCTCCGAGATCGTGAGAAGACAAGTCGTTGCTGCCGTTCGCCATCGCCGCCCCTCGTCCTGCACACGATACCACAATGGTCGGGTGTGTGCTTATTCGTTCCCTACTGGGACTAACGCTGCTGTTCGCGCTATGCCTGGCAAGTGTGTCAAGTTCCACTTCAGCTGACGATTCTGATCCAGTTTCCCCCGCGTCCAGTTCATCTTCATCCGAAGACGATACTCCGGTCCCATCTGGTAAGTTAGTTGGTGCAGCGACAACTACATGTACTTGCTTTCGTGAGCGATTTGCTTACACGCAGTTCACGCTTGTCTTTCAGTTGATCACCTATGTACTTGTACAGTGCTGGCAACTGAAATCCGACCCCCTGGGCGGCGCGCCGCATCGCCCAGGGGATCGGATTTATGTTGCCAGCATCGTATGTCTGGGCTGTAGGCTCCGGCGAAATCCCATGTTGAGAATTCGAACGCTTGCCTGCTGCACTGGTCCCGTGTCTTTATCCGTCTGTCTCCTCTCGACTGTGTCCTGTACTATGTACTGTAGCATCAGTGTGCCCTGGACTCGGGTTCTCAGTGTTTTGGGGCTTCTTTTTACTCTTTACACAGTCCAACTGGAAAACATGTGCAGAACAAAAAGGAAACGAGGAAAAGGACAAAACATAGGGGATGTAGGGACTTGCCTCCGTGTTCTGTACTGTGCAGCCTTCTAGCTGACTTTGCAGTCTGCACTCTCTCTCTCTCTTCTCTCTCTCTCTCTCTCTCTCTCTCTCTCTCTCTCTCTCTCTCGATTGATCTGCCTTGTTATATGCACGCATGTCTGGTGTGAATACCTCGTTCGCCTCGAATGCCGTGATCTCCATTTTTGTTCTTTTTGTGGTTTTATTCGCCGCAGGCTGCGGTGAAGGTTGGTCCGCTTTCAGACAAGGCTGTTACGTCATCGAGAAATTCCGCTTGGGAGTGACGTTCCAGACAGCTTATAGACAGTGTCGCCACCGGGATTCGGAGCCGGCGGAGCTCAGAACACGTGAAGTACGTATACAGTGAACTGAAGCAGTGTGTATCTAGTGAATCAGCACATGGTTGTACAGTGTGGTGGTCTCTCATTGTCTCTGTCTCCCTCTGTGTCTCTGTCTGTCTGTCTCTCTCTCTCTCTCTCTCTCTCTCTCTCTCTCTCTCTCTCTCTCTCTCTCTCTCTCTCTCTCTCTCTCTCTCTCTCTCTCTCTCTCTCTCTCTCTCTCTCTCTCTCTCTCTCTCTCTCTCTCTGTCTCTCTCTTTCTGTCTGTCTCTCTCTCTCTGTCTGTCTGTCTGTCTCTCTGTCTCTCTCTCTCTCTGTCTCTCTCTCTCTCTGTCTCTCTGTCTCTCTCTCTCTGTCTCTCTCTCTGTCTCTTTGTCTCTCTGTCTCTCTCTTTCCCCAAGCCGACTCTTTACTATGAGCAGTTTCCTTTACCTCTAACTGATATAATTTCAAATGCCGTTGCCTTTATCCTTCCTATGCCACTGTGATAGGTCCATCAGCTAGTGGCCGAACTGTCCAAGTCGGAAAACAGCTGGATCGGTCTCACCGATGTGCGTCGGGCTCCTACCCCACAACAGCCGTAAGAATCGCGGGGAGATTTGAGCCAGCCGAGCATGATAATTATCATAAACCCCGTGCATGGGATTTACGGTTTTTGACGACTTTGTCGTAGGCCTGTATCTGGCTCGCTCTTTACCAAACCGACTCATTGCTATGAACATTACTGTTCACCTTTGTCATGGGATGTACTTACATGATGAGTACTAGTACTAGCAAGAGACCATAACCCCCAGAGTGTGCAACTCGCGATAAGGTCTTGTCACGACTCGTTTTCAACATTGCATCATTTTCAGGTAGCGAAAGTCGCGGCCTGCACGCGCAGCTACATGACGATTGTCGTGGCCTGCACGCGCGCGCAGCTACATGAAAATGACGTAATGTTGAAAACGAGTCGTGACAGAGATTTGTGTGGCGTTGCACACAAGAGTGCATAACCGCCAGGTATCAAGTACATATACCAGGACTCTGCACTACTCCAGTCCGAGTCGAGATGCTTCGAGTAGTGCGCAAAAATCCAACCGTTGTGACACAGCCCAGCAAGGCCATTAGACAAACGCTAGAAATGCAGATTTGCCGTAACTTGTTGCTATATTACAAACTAAAACTATTGGGACCAGTTGCACTGACCTTTCCCCTCACAGTCATTGATCATCCATCAGCACTCG